ATCAGAACTGCATTCTGGAGTTTTATTGTTAAACATTGTAAGAATTCAGTTTCTTCAATTTGGCATTATAGTTCTTATTGAATGCAAATTTTCTTGCAAAACTTTCTATGTTCTCTGCCATTTAATGATACGTCCCAATTTCAATAATTTGGATGTAATTTCGAACCTTAGATTTCCACATATGTTGAGTTTGGTATGCTGAGGTGTTACTACCACAGAAAACATATTCAAAATGGGTCCACGTCTTCGTTTCTCCAAAAATGTATTCGTTGTCATCAGTTCCTTAACATTAACGAATCATTTTTATCTTTTGTGCTATATTTAATTCATAAATGTACAAATTTCAAAAAGTAAATAAATATTTTATAAAACTTCACAAATGCTTTGTTCTGATTCTGAAAATAGAGGCGAATTAATATTTATTCGCATTGATAACAATTTTGAAATATCATATTCCCAATTCGCCTACGCGGCTACCTTACATATGTCGGAAAATCGTCTTAATATGCAAAATATTGGTCAAATTTTTCCAGAAATTGCTAAATTTTGTAGAAATCAATAAATATTTTATAAAAATTAGTTTTTTTTTTTCCAGCGTCACTATATCGAGCCATATTCGCCAAAAAAAACGTAACCCTCAATTTTAAAAAGAACAAGTGAAAAAGCGTTAAGTTCAATGTACCCTCCACCATAGATATACTGACAGGTACTAGAAATGAAAATATAGGGAACATACCAAAAAGTGGACCTATACCGACATGTCTAAAAACGGATTATGTAAACCATAATGTAAGCCATAATACAAATTTCAGAAATTTTTAATTGATAATTCAAATTCGAAGATGGGGAATATCGGTCCACTCCTTCTGAAACCTCCTACACAGGGGCTACGGCTAAGCCTAAATGCGGGCTATAGTTCACATATAGTTCATTATCGAACCGTACTTTTTAGTTTTTTATCTCGATATCCTTCGCAGGTGAAATGATTACAACAGAGTGTTAGAACCAAACCCAAAACGCGGAAAAATCAGATAATTATATTAATATAAAAATGGGGTTATATGGGGACTACGCCTAAAAGGGGTTGACTATTAATAATTTTTGTAGGGAGATTTGTTTTCATATACGGCTACAAAATACCAAATTTCAGTGATTTCGGTTGAAAAACACGCTCAAGAACCTCAAAATGCCGATATTTGGGGGTACCTTTATATGGGGGCTACCAGAAAAAATGGACTTATATTTATAATTTTTAGTGGAGATATTTGGTACCCAATAGGAACCCAATGTACCAAATTTCAGCGAATTCAGTTGAAAAACGCGCTCAAGAACCCCAAAATACCGAAAATTGGGGGGTACCCTTATATGGGAGCTATGCCTAAACGTAGACCGATATATCCCATCTTCGAACTTGACCTGACTGCAGACAAAAGACAACCCTATGCAAAATTTCAGCACCCCATCTCAATTCCTTCGAAAGATAGCTTGATTACAACAGACGGACAGACGGACGGACATGGCTAGATCGTCTTAGAATTTTACCCTGATCAAGAATATAGATACTTTATAGGGTCGGAAATGAGTATTTCGGTGAGTTACAAACGGAATGACAAAATTAATATACCCTCCACACTATGGTGGAGGGTATAAAAACATCATAATATCATTGTATACCCTTTCCATGCTTCCAAGTACACTTTCAATGCTGAGGCTTGAGACTTTAATTATTTGATATTTTTACTGTAGACATGTAGACCTGATGTTATATCCCTCCCAACAATTCCGTCGAAGTCTTAAATAAGTGGTGTTTATCGTAATGGCAATTTGTTGATCAGTAATCACATGGCAAAGATATCTAAAATTTTCGAGCCAATCTGTTTGTACTGTAGAATTGATTCAGTTTTGTCCAAGCAAAAATTGAGTTAATTCCCTTATCCATACATTATTACTTATTTCATAATAAACATTGCATTCGGTGGATACTTTCCGATACCTACATGAAAATACACAACATGTATAGGCCAAAATTTTTTTATCACATTTAATATTTTTAATTCGGAATTAAAATCTTAATCGGATATATTTGCGAGTGTTTTTCATAAAAAAAACTTTAATTATGTTAACGGTGTTTATATGTGGAGCGAAACAAATGTGTTCTTTAAATTTTGTTTTATAAAATTTTACACTGTGCTAAGTGGTAACGTTGACGGATCAGCAAAGCATGATAAAGCGTTGCCATATGGAAATGATTTTATTTTTAATTTCATTACCGTTACTATTTCATTCAATTATGTGACTTCAAAAATTGCCTTTTTTCTCAGAAATCTTCTATTGGGCACGTCCTGTTTTGAAAATCATATTTGGAATATTTGACCTTAAATTGGTAGGTATACTTTCAAATTATATATATTTTAAGTTCTAATTTAAGTGCTAAAGTAGGGCGTTTTATTCAATAATTTTAAAATGTTTCTTTTTTACATTTTTTATTTCATTATATATTTTTTTTATATAAATAACAACAAGCGTATCTTATATTATTTTAAGCTTTCATTGCATATAAAATTAACGTGGCTTGTTTTTATTTATGTTTAATAATTTCATCAAAAAGGAACATGTTATTCTATTGTAAATCATCTCTCCGCAGTTTTTTATTTATATTTTTTATTTATTATCAAACTTCAACACACTTAAAATTGATGTTTATATGGCGGAAATTTGTTTGCAATATGGTTGCAACCTTCTAAGAATGCCATATAACAGCCCCGAATAAAACCTTCAAAACAACGAACATGGGACCGTATTTATAGTTATCAATTTAATTGGGGCTTAGAAATGCGTATCTATTTTATTGTACTAATGGAGTTGTCGTTATTCTCCAGGAAATGTATGGATTCTGTAGATATTTTTGATCAAAAAGATCAGATAATATAAATTAATTATTAAAAACATACAAATGTAAAATAAATGTACTGATTTTTATATTATAATAGGTTATGGAACGTAAATATCTAACTCATTATCTGACTTATGACCTTTCTAGAATTTCAATTATTATCACTGTGCAATTAGAATTTTATTCCTTAAAATTTTGCAGATTTACTTATTAGGTATATATTTCCTAAAATGGTTGAATTAACATCCCTTCTTATTTCAGTAACACACAATCCAAAAAAAAATCAGCTGCCTACCATTTCGCCAGCTGACAGTAATAACAGAGAATCGCATAATCGCTGAGGTATTACAAATAAAACGAACAGCAACAACTAACATTATTGAGCGTTAAAACTCACGAAAAAAATTACACGCATACAGCACTAAAGGTTCAGCGCAAAAATGCAATAACATAAAACGAAATCATAACCATGCTCAGCGTACCATCACACTGAAGGAGGGGCTAAAATTTTTACGAACAGAAGCGTGTTGGAAGTCAACAGCCACAAGCGTTAAGATCAGCACTTCAATGCGAGTGTTATTTTCAAAATGGAGAATCAGCGCTGGAGTAATCAACAGCTAACCAGTAACGGTGAGAGTGTCAGAGAGAGATGGAGCGAACCACACACCAGATACTCATAACAACAATTCGGAGAGTTGATGACAGCTGCACTGGCTTCCGTTGTTTTGTTTTGCATTGCTGCTGTTGTTGTTTTCTGTAGGGAATGGGAGAAATGGTGGTGAGTTAACTGGTGGGTTTTTAAAAGAGAGTAAGAGTGGAGAGCCAACTCTGCGCTCACAACACTAATTTCAACCAATCACAAGTGTTCAAAGGCAGAAGTACTGAAATAGTGTTGTACACACACAACACATGCCGATCTTATAAGAAGAGTATTCCGAACAGCAGGTAATTTTTCTCCAGACCAAAAAAAGATGCATCATTCATCTTCCATTGTCTCCATTGATAATGATGACGATGATGACGACTATCAACTTAAAAATCGATTTGTTTTTTCTTTGTTTTTTTCTTCTGTTGGCATTTTTACTCTAAAGCCGATGTTGTGTGGTTGCTGCCACCACTGTTATTACGAAAACGATCCCATCCGATCCGATCACTTCTCACTGTAGCTGCCGCGGCACTCATTCACTGAAACGTATAATTTTTTGTGACAAACGTAAAACATGAAAAAAAGACAGTCAGTTGAACTAGAAACTTTGTTAAGCCAGCAAGCCGGATTCATGCTCATTGGCGTTCGTGTCTCACACTCTCTCTCCCTCTTACCATAGGCGAAGAACGTGAATTCAAGCCATCAATCTGATCGATCCAGAATTGTGTGTTTTACAACCGTCGGTACGACACATGGCGTGCTAAAGCTAAAGCGTTATGGAAACTTTAAAACTACGTTAGCTCGATTTCGCATAGTTATCGCTTCGATCTAATCCAATTAGCACCCACTCAAAAGCTGCGATAAAGCTATTTTCGGCTCGGTCGTTTACAAAAGGAGAAAAACCACATTTGACGCATTTGAATAAAACAATTTTAATTTGCATAAATTATTATTTAATAATACAAAAAATAAAACAATACAACAACAATAACAAGTTCACACTATCACAACTAATAACAATTTGTTGTTGATTAATACGAAGAAGAGGGCGAAAAAAGACGTTTTGTAATTATGCTAAAGGAGTGGTGATAAATGTAACACTTCCGTTTAACGCCAACGCGGTTTCGTGTTTTTTTGCATTCGTTATCGTGTCGTCACAGTCATCATAGTCGTCGTGCATACTAGTTCTACAACAACAATCGACTAAAATGCTAATAAAACAACTCTTGTAATTGACAATGTTGTACTTCGTGTTTTGTGATCGTGTCTAGCGATAAATATTCCTTTATCCATAACCTGTCTGTAATAAAAAATAAAACAACAACAACAAAGAAACGACGAACAAGCATATATTTTTTGTGTTTGATAAGTGAAAAACAACAACACCATACTCTGCAGCACCATCATTCATAATTATTATAAATTGCCAAGTATAATCACACACAATTAAAATCCACAACGATGATCACCATGAATGAATTGGTGGATTTGCGTATGCAACAGCATATCGCCCATGAAATATATCGCCAACAGATCATGCAACGTATACCGGGTAAGTGTATTTGTTTTTAAGTAAATTGGAATATTTTAAAAATGCCGTCGGAAACTAAAGGCAACATCTTTTTCGTTTCAAATATTTTTTAGTAGAAGAGGATGAAAAATACATATGATCTATATTTAAATCGACTTTTTTTATAAAGTGCCCGAAAATTATCTTTACAAATTTATATTTTTATTATTAAACTTCAAAAATCGAATACACTTTTTCTACTACTTAATGGTAAAATTGACGAAGGGTTAATTTAAATGATAAAAGTACAATGTACATTTTTAAACGTGGGGTAAAAATGTAGTTTCATATAAAAATAGGTATTTTTAAAAAAAGCTTCCATTGAATTTTACTGTTTGTATTTTTACCACCAAATATTGTGTCCGCTCCCAGGGATAAATTTATTGAGGTACACACATATTTTTTTGTTTAATCAATAATTATATTGATTGCAATACATATTTTGCCACTTAATAATGCTAAACATAAAAAAAAAAATAAGAAATAACCCAATTTATGTAAATCGGTAATGATCAATTGAGTGTAGAAATGTCGATAAATGTACAATGGAATATTTTTGACTTGGATGCTGAAAAAATCGACGTATGAAGTATATATATTCCTTATCGGAATAAAATTCCATGTCGAATTAAGGCCCGTCTGTGTTTGTGTGCAACAGGTAAAATGACACACACAATAGTTAAGAGCTGAAATTTTGCGTTCATATTGATACTACACCGATGATCTTTGATATATCCTCCATATAACCGTTCATCCCAAACTCGATTTTAAAGCTTTAAATTGCTTTTACAGCCGAGCCAAATATAAGATTATATTTGGAATGCCCAAATATACGGCATCTGATATCAAATTGCCTATAATTTAACATTTTGAGCTATTATTGGGTGGCAAATATATCTACCAGAAATCTCATATAAACGACTGACCCCTTTACAAGTATTTTAATAGGCCTTGCCGCATTTCCCAACCTAAGTGACCATATTGTAGCATTACTATTTGCTATTTTGAAATCAGAGATAAGCAATTTATTCACATGTTCAATATAAGTCTATATTTCTTTCTACTTATTTCGAGAACCAATTTTTCAAAATTTTAGCAAAGTTCCCCAACCTAACTGGCTGAAATTTGGCATTCTGGATTATTGGAGAGTGAGAACATTTTTCACACGTAGATCCATGTTTCGGTAGGGTTTCCATGTAAAGATCATTTTCGGTATTTTCAATGGTATAGCCGAAAAAAATTATAATGCATTAAAAAATGGGTCAGGCCGAATTTAGATACTTTCTTTTTAAAATGGTGTATTCGATGGTGTACTACATGTGAGTTGGTTTACATTAAAAAGGACAATATATTTATTCATGCACTATTTAAGACCGTGATTCCCATAGTTTTTATCGGACGTTTCCTCAGTTTAAGTGGTAAATCATGGCCTACATATATAAGAATTTGTTGTTGACTATTTAAATGGGTCTTGTGGTACATCACCCTTTATATAAGTTTCACGGAAGAAACGGAGTTATATCTACCATTTTCGAACTAATCTAGTCGAAACATAAAATATATTAGATTGGATAAAAAGAAATCCATTCGAAAATGTCGATAAAATCGAAGAAATGATCGAAGTTGACCGGCATGTTAGCAGGAGTAACATCGCCCAGAAACTAAAAATCGAACATAAAACTGTTTTAAACCATTTACATTTACAAAAAGCAAAAGCTCGATGTTTGAGTGCCACACTAATTAATAGAAAAAATAGGATGGATCGAATATCCATCTGCGAAGCCTTGGCCAAACGGAATAAGATGAGAAATGGATCACATACGATAAACCTGTGCGAAAACGATCGTGGTCAAAGAGCGGTGAAGCACCACAAACGGTGGCCAAACCAGGACTAACGGCCAGGAAGGTTCTGCTCTGAAATTGGTGGGACTGGAAGGGGATTATTTATTATTAGTTGCTTCCATATTGCCAAACGCCGTTTGAAGATATCAATTGGTTGGGAAGTTTTAATGCACCCGCCATACAGTCCGGATGCGATTGTCATCTTTTTCTTGCATTGCAACAATTCTTTAATGATAAATTGGTACCTCGGGAGGATTGTGAAAATCTACTATTAGAGTTTTTTGCAAATAGAGAGCAGGACTTCTATGAGAGAGGCGTTATGAAGTTACCTTTGAAATGGTAACAAATCATAAGACAAAGCGGATATTTCGGACATTCCGAAGCATGTTAAAAAAATCCTATAGTTAATTGAAAGTAATGGATTTATTTTTTATGATTTCCGCAAACTCTTAAAAAATCTTAAAAATGCTAATAAATATTTTTTTTTAACATTACGATTTTATTTAATCTCATGTAAATCTCATCAAAACATGATACTTTGATGCGAGGTTGTCAAAAAATCATAACCCTAATGTACACGCATGCAGTTGAAAATATTTTTTTATTTGTTGAATTTATCCTAATCATTAATTTTATACACATTTTTATAAACATTTGGTTTTTGGGTACTTTTTACTTTATATTTTTAAAGAATCGACCTATAAAAGCTATGTTTTTATTATTTGAATTTTGCGTTGTAAGGGCAGTGGTCATTTGAAAGTAATTTTTAAGTGATTATTTATCCTCTTTCGAGTGGAGCTTAATGATATAAGTTTTGCAATGGAAAGACAAGCCAGGAGAAGAACCTACGTACCCACCATTATGTGACGCATTTCGGTATTCGGCTATGAGGCTTTACCAAAGTTGTATGTTAATAAGTTGTATTTACTTCGCCCTGTCAAGGTTTGTCAAGGTTGAGCAGGGCTAGGGCTCGAATTTCTGTCCTCGGAGCAGCACAAATGTTGCCAGACCACTTATCATTCTGAGCCATCAACACACTTCCAAAACGGATGCGCAAAAACATGTGTATACCATGGAACAATTGTAGGTGTTATGGATTAAGTATCCATCGCTACAACAAAAATCTGATTTGAAAAGGGCTGTTTCTAAAATGAAGACAAATGTCGAACCTTGGCAAATTTGAATTTTATTCGCATATGCAAGTTTCGCATCAGGGCAAAATAAATACATGTTATCAACATACGACCTTTGTAAAGCCACATAAATAACCACTTAAAAATTATGTTTTTATATATTATTGAGTGAAATTTTTATATCGTAGTATGTAGTGCAGTAATTTCAGCAGTATCGTGACACCCAATTTTTATTTAAACAATTTGTCAGATAAAAAAAACAAATGTTTTGGGTATACATTTTTTCAATTCTAAAAACTGAAAATGGCGGCTGTTAAAATTACCTAATGTAAATAATTCATTTTTATAATTTCATTGCAGATCCCTTTCCACCCATGATGCACATACCGATGCCCCGACATGTGATAATGCCACCACGAGTAACATTACCCGGTGTCGATGTCCAATTGCAAAACGATGAACTGTGGAAGCAATTCCATCAAATTGGAACGGAAATGATTATAACGAAAAGTGGAAGGTAAGTAGGTGGTTCGATACACACCAGGTAGTACATATACCAAACTGCACATACATACATACATACTCATATACCTATGTACAAACATCCTAATATATTTCTGGCGCTCTCATCTTATTTATGCTATTGGCATGGCGCTATTTCTCTACCGATTCGGTTTTTGTTTGGAAATCAATTAAGGATTATTAGACAGAGACGCCAGGCAAACATTGTTTAGGATCAGAATATTCCTAATTTGTTTGGCAGGGAACAAGAACTCGAAAAATATCGCGCCTTAACAATGCCATGGCAATTTGCTTGACCGACCACAAAAAGGGAACTCGGCGATCTATTCTATTTTTGTTGTTTGAGGTTAAGTGCAGCTCGACAGTACAGCTCAGTAGAACAACAACAGGCAACAGCATGGAAAAGAAAATAGATTTTTATGATTGCATTAACACCATCATACAAAAACTCACAGTTACCGTGGTCCTAGTCGTATTCATCGTCTTGGTCGTCGCTGTTGCATTATGAATAGCAACAACAACAAGCACACACAAAACCGACCAGTCAGTGTCTTCGAAATGGAAATGAGATGAAATTGCATTTTAAGTGAGGCTCATTAAACCACGGCGACGTTAACGGCGCCTGCCAAAATGAGCTGCGGAATATAACAACGGCGCGACAAGATTTTTCACACACAAATATCAGATACCGGAGAAAAACAACATTATTTTCATCACATTCTAATTCATACATAGCTAAGGTTATGTTGAGGTTTTCATTTGTTGCTTGTTTTTCCTAATGCAGGGAACTGTGGCCTGGACCTCCTGCTATGTTATTGTTTTTAACAAAATTTGAAGTGAAGCCGGACTTTTAGATCGTATATGAAGGATATATTTTACCTGCATTATTAATGGATGCGAGTTCTATAAGAAAATTCTTGTGATCTATTAGTATATGATTCTTTTAGAGAATACTCTACTAGACGAATAAACAATGGAAGCCATTGGGTTATAAATAATAAAACCACAATGGTGTATTATACAACAGAAGACATTTTGGTCCAGCGTTGCCGTTTGGGACATTTCGAACCAAATTGTGTCGATGATTGGCCATTTCGGTCCATTTTTAGGTTATTAATTTAGGAGAATTCCATTTAAATGGTCAGATTTTGGTGCATTCTTACACACAAATATTTTGGTCCTAATCCTGTTTTTTTTTAACGACAACACTGCTTTGGTCTCTAAAATATAACGAGTGATAACGCCGTTAAATTCGGGCGGGACAAACTTATTGTACCCATCGCAAGACCTTTGTATGGATCTTGCAAGTTGTAAAATCCACTGAGAAAATAAATGCTTAAACATGCAAAAAATTGGGAAGGTCTTTCGTATGGAACATTCGTACGTCCCAACATTGACCTTTATTAAAAAATATATGGGTTATTTCAAAAAGGTCCCCATATGAAAATTGTCTCGGAAGAAGTTTATTATCTTAGAATTTGAAATGAAATTGCAGTCACTTCGGCTTGAAATCCTCTTAGGGCATATATATTATTTATAAACATGCGAATGCAAAATTACGACCACTTCATTGAAAAAATGCGGAAATCTTCGCAAATGCCGAATGCAAAATTACAGCAACTTATTTTATAAAATGCGGCTAAGGACTTCAAAATGCCGAGAATAGAACTGGAACATAGTATAGAGCTCCATCAAATCATGGACCCATATACAATATTTTCTGCAAGGACGTTTTTCACCCTTCAACTGTTTCAAGTTATATCTCCTTCGGTCGGAAATGTGGCACTTACATACTTAGATGACTCCAGGCTGAACATTTGTTCCAGCATTCGAACTTAAAAACTATATTGTGCACAGTCTTTTCCAGTTTGAAAGTCCTGCTTTGATATGTCATCCTCCACTTGACCTTCTCGCTTTAATATGCCTTTTGAGCTGGGCAGCCAGATACATCTGACTATATATAGATGCTATAGCTTGAGGTTCATTCGACACTGGACGCAGATCGTCGACGCAGATCGGCCCTTAGATCTTTCGGAAATTTTTTCTTTCAAACACTCATCTACTTGGGCAGGTACCCATGCTCCTGATCAATATACCAGCACTGGAAGTATCACCGTCTTGTAGGGTGCGAGTTTGGTCTGGCGAGAAGTGGCATTGTTTCTAAATTGTTTACTTAGATCATATTAGCATCTGTTCTCCTTCGCATTTCAAAACTGATGTCATTAGTTTTATTTATGGCGGTACCAAGGTATATAAAGTCTTTGACTACTTCGAAGCTGTAGTTCTCAAGTTCCACAGTTGGTCCGAGTCTAAAGAACGTCCTACGCATTGATACTACCAACTTTTCTTCTCGCCTTTTACTACCACAGCCACTTGGGCAGACTCCTTCTCAATTTGTGCAAAGGTGGTTGTAATCGCTCGCAATGTTCGACCCATTATGTCGATGTCATCGTCGTAGGCGAGTAACGTGTGTTGCTTGGTGTACAGAGTGCCATTTCTGTTCGCCTTTGCATCGCGTATGATCTTTTCGAGAAGAATGTTAAAAAGGTCACATGAGAGGCTGTCACCTTGTCTTGTCCTTTCCGACTTTAACTGCTGATCTTGTGCCAGTTTAAGTTGTCCTGAATAGCCGTATGAATAGCCGCAGAAATGCCGAAATCAGACATGGTTTTAAACACCTCTGAGCGGATATGGGATGTCGAATACGGTTTCATAGTCGACTATGAATAAGTGGAATGTGATTTGGGTCTTCTCTAGGATTTGGGGTAGTGTGGAAATCTTATCTATGGTAGATTTGCTAGGTCTGCTTGAATAATGTCATTGACAATTGGCTTCAGTCGTTCACACAAGACCCTGGATATGCGACTGGGAAACTAATTCCTCTTTATTTGGAACATATCGTTTTGTCTCCTTTTCGTGCACCGGACACGGGGTGCTGGGGTTTCAATCATTGGTCATGCCTTCCTCTAGCCAAATTGTACTAATCAGCGGGAGCATACTTCTGATCAGCATCTGACCACTGGTCTTGAATAGTTCGGCTAGTAATTCAACTGCACCAGCTACTTTATTATTCTTCAGCCAGTTGATTGCTATTCTGGTCTCATCTAGGCTATACACATTTCGTAGAAGTGAAAATTCCAAATCACAACACCGTTGGTTGCAAAATAATTCAAACCCTGCGACATTTTGGACAAAGCCCCACCACCTTTTGTGTGGTGGGGCTTTGTCCAAAATTGGACCTCCAAGAACCACAACATTTCGGTGGGATCCATTATCGTCTAAAGGCGATTATCACCTTCCAAGATACCGGAATGTCGAACTTCAGCTACTTATGTTTCAAAATGCGGTTAAAACCTTGAAAATATAGAAATTGGGGCTAGTATATACGTGGTATATAAATGTATCCCATTTTCCATATCAAACATCCTAGGAGTACATATTAGTACTGCATGTGCAAATCATCGTGATAGTCGGAAGAACATGGCATTTGTGGGGTCTCCGACGAATGTTTTGAGATTTTGCAACGTGTTATATCCTCTAAATGTTATGTTGGAGGATATAAGGACACATCTGAACTTTTATATAAAGAAGACATACAAATTTCGATATACCCGATGGATCTTGGCCCTTCTATGTATAAGAATATGCTCCGGTATTTTATATAAAAAGTACCATAGTGTTATATATGAAAGCTATTTTTCTTCTTATATAGAATACATGACTAAATAAGAATAAAACAATCAATTGTTTCAATACATACCAGAGGGTTTCCACCCTTTTTTAAGATCATGTCTTTCATATAATAGATAACTCCAGGGTCTTCTGTATATAAAATAACAAGATAGTCTGCCTCTGTCCACCTACAACAATACCTTTTCTATATAATTTTCTATATAATGTTATTCTTTCAGGAGAATCATGTATTCTCCTAATCGTCTATATAAGAAAATATTCCAAATCTTTACCGGTTAGAAACAATTCTAACAAGTGAAAAAGCGTTAAGTTCGGCCGGGCCGAACTTTGGATACCCTCCACCATAGATATACCGACATATACTAGAAATGAAAATATAGGGAACATACCAAAAAGTGGACCTGTAAACCATAATACAAATTTCAGAAATTTTTAATGGATAATTATACCCTCTGCCTTATGGCTAATAAGGGTGTATGCAATCGGTCACTCTTTCTGGAACCTCCACACAGGGGCTAGGTCTAAATGCGGCTATAGTTCATTATCGAACCTTACGTTATAATTTCATATTTCGCTATCCTCCGCAGGAGAAATGATTACAACAGAGTCTTAGAACCAAACTCAAAACGCGGAACATATCAGATAACTATTTTAATATAAAAAGGGGGTTATATGGAGAATACCCCAAAAAGGGGGCGAATATTAATAATTTTTGGTAGGGAGATTTGTTACTATATACAACTACAAAATACCAAATTGCAGCAAATTCGGTTAAAAAACGCGCTCAAGAACCCCAAAATACCGAAAATTGGGGGAACCCTTATATGGGGGCTATCCGAAAAAATGGACCTATATTCATAATTTTTTGTGGGGAGATTTGGTGCCTATTAAGGACTCAAAATACTAAATTACAGCCAATTCGGTGAAAAAATCCGGTCAAAACCCCCCAAAAATTGGAAATTGGGAGGTACGCTTATATGGGGCTACCAGAAAAAGTGGACCTATATTTATAATTTTTAGTGGGGCAATTTGGTACCCAATAAGAACCCAAGACGGACGGACATGGCTAGATCGTCTTAGAATTTTACCCTGATCAAGAATATATATACTTTATAGGGTCGGAAATGAATATTTCGATGTGTCACAAACGGAATGACAAAATTAATTTACCCTCCATACTATGGTGGAGGGTATAAAAATCATTTTCTTTTGGTTAATCTTCGTTTAGAATACATTTCATTTTCTCTAAGAAATTTTTTCTCCCACGTTGATGTTATTTTTTTTTTAATCTTTTTAGTTTCT